ATCCTAATGTTAGCGGCCCTTGAGGCCATTGCCCTCAAATTGGCTCTAGCAGCCGCAGCAGATGAGTTGTACCCACTACTACTACTTCTACGACCATGCTCGCTGCCGCTGTTAAAAACCTCCATGAATTCTTCCCTCTGCAATCTCAAAGCCAACGCAGCATCCTCATCTTGGCTTGGCAATTCTCTCCCACTTTGCACACGGCGAGGGAGATGGCGGTGACGATGACGATTCTGGTTTCTTCTCTCAGACGACTAGGGATATTCAATGCTGCCGCAAATTCTCTGACCCTCCTACTACTTCTTGCTGGAGCTGGAGGAGTTGTTCTCGCGTGACTATCTACAGCTGCTGCTTCTGCTGCCTTCCTCGCCTCCACCTCTTGGGGGAACAATAGCTGTATTGTGTTCCATAGAACCGTGTTCACCGTGCAGCAGTATCTACTATTGCTGCATTGCATTGTTTCACCATATTATCCAAAGTCAGTTTGTGTGATTAAATATATAGATATATATGGTCATGCCTACACACACTACCTGATTAGCTGCCTGCACTTGGGGCATCTCTTGCCACACTTATCAGCAGCCGAGCGCAGACATCTTTTGCAAAAACTGCACACGCAGAAGTAAAGTAAACTAATGAAGATTTTCATTGTTTTTGGTCAAGCAAAACAAATGAATGTAGTAACCTACCTGTGTCCACAAGGCGTGGTACTGGGTTCATAGCAGATCTCCAAGCAAATCTTGGTTACCAAGTTCATGTTAAGTTAGAGATCAAAGCAAATGAAAGGAAGCTAATCAGAGACAATTTATAATTCTCTTCTTACTGCGCAAGAAAGTTCCTCCCGAAGCTTATCAAAAGGCATTGCGGCAGTGGAGGTGTTCCTGCAACCCTCTTCATAACCTCCTTTTGTCTTCTCTACTTGTTTATCACTGGTTGTCTCTTCACTCTTTTTCTCACTTTCTGTAGAATACTTGGGTTGGAATCAAAGATGCAGAGAGGATTGAAAATCTTAAAACTAGTCTGGAAATTAAAGAGATTAAATGAAGAACCTTGTTTTTGCGTTTGAGTCATCCACATCCACATCCTCCTCAAGGTCAAGAATCGCCACTGGTTTGGATGCCGGACTTCTCCGCTGGGCTCTGCGTTTTCTGAACCACCAACCCAATTCGATCAGTAGGACGATTATATTTATATCCTCTTTAGATACAAACGCAGCATCGCACAAGCAACTTTCTTTCGGAGACCAGTCAAGGGAATAAATAATTCATTACAACAAACAAACGCAGAAATGAAATGAACAAAGTAAAACCAAACCAAGCTTGTTTCAGAAGACACAAGGACTGGTTCTCCTGAACCAACCTTGTAGAATTTGTGGGAGGTGTTATGAAACTGTGCAAACCGGATCTTTTCTTGTGCTTCAACTGGCGGTCGGGCGTGTCTTCCACGACGAGGCTTGCAATCAGCAGTGCCTCTTCATCCCAACCGGCCATCGCCGCCACCGATCGAAACCTTGGGCTGAACAAACTCTCGTTTCTCTTCCCATTTTCCATGATTTCCGGACCCGAACCCTCTGCATTGGTCATCCTTTCCTCCTCCGGATTTCGTATTGGTTTTTAGTTTAGTGGGCAAGGAAAGGGAGAGGACTGAGGAGAGGTTCCGTAACGGTCATATTTCCTTCTTATATGAAAAGCTTAACGGCTAGTTAGAGGGTGGGTGTTGCGTGGGCATTTTAGTAATTTCGACTAGCTGTTCAAAATAACACTCCCAAATAAATGAATCCGAATTGAGTCTGAATGGAAGACGGAAATCAAGATTTAAGAGTCTATAAATGTATAGATAGTTAGATACTACTGTAATAGTAATTCCTTTCTTCTTCGACAATAAACAAACTTTTATTTCTTCTTTTTACAATAAATATATTCTATACAAATTTAAAAGTGTCCTTGTATTTCTTTGTTTTTTTGTTTGTTACCAGGTAGTAGCTAGTCTAGCCAGATGGTATGTATGTATAGTTTGAAAATCAGTTGGGCTGCCAGGGCAACAAGCCTGTGGCGGGGTCAGCGAATTGGCGAAGGACCCAGTCCCTCAAGGCGGTATCCTGAACCTCACAAACCTGGCGGACCAATCGGGCGGCTCGACGGGTTTTGGTCCCTAGGCCGGGCGCCCTGTCCTTGGAGTCCACATTCCTCTCCTCCTGCCAATCGGAGACGTAGGTGGCAACCCTCCGGTAGAACTTGTCCTTGAAGACCGCCCACACCTGGTACTTGTAATGGTTGATCACCAGCCGGGTGGTGTTGAGTTGGAGGGATCGGAACCCGGACTTGAGATGGAAATGGTGCACCACGTTGATGAGGGACGAGTTCAGCGCATCCGCCCTCACTATGCTCTTGTGCCTCTCCGTTGCAGCCGCCCTGCACGTGTACCCGCCCATTACCCCTCTCTCCGGATGCTGCTTCAGCCCAGACGGCCCGAAGCTGCGGCACCACACCCGGATTTCCCCCCCCCCTCCCCATCAGAGTAGTAGTCATCGCTGCTGCTGCTTATCACATCGTGGAGGGACCAGTGAGACGCCGCCGCCGGCATGTGAAAGAATTCATCAACGTCCGTGAATGCAACCCACTGGCAGGAATCTCGAGCCCTCAATGCGCAGTGCGCGAACCCCGCCTCTTGACTCTTGATCCAGGGCCAACTATGGCGTGTCACGTTGTGGTGCTGCTGCTGCTGATTCAAAGACTCCACCACCCGCTCCAGATCGTCGTTGCTGTTGTTGTCGTAAATGAACCATCTTTCCACTCCGATCCGGGAGTGGTACATCACCCATTCCCGCAGGAACCGAGCTTGATTCCTCACCATCGTGCACATACATACCCTGTGCTGCTGCTGCTGTTTTTTGGGAGTTCCTGTCTGATTCTGCCGCCGGGATTCTTATTCGTGCAACGGAATCGAGGGCCCGCTTGCCAACGGCCTTAACGGAGACCTTAATGGGATTGGGGTCTCTGCCAAAACTAGGTGGGGCGTTAAGTACGGGGGAAGGGGTCCGGCACCTGACGATTTCCTGGGCAGCTGAAACGACGTCGCTCCGGAGAAGGGAGCCGGAGTTTGAATCCCCGATGTAGAAGAGGCACTTGTACCTGGAAGGGGCAGCAGCCTTTCCTGACCGTAGATTGAGTCCCTTCACGAAAACAATCGTTGACTCGTCATCATCATCGAAGGCGGCTTCGTACGCCAGAGAGTCCCATTTGTACGTAGGCCCTGCTGCTGCTGCTGCTGCAGGAGGTGTGAGGCTGTTCTTGTTACCCTTGCTGTTAAACGCAAGGGACACGATCATGCCATGTGTTGTTGTAGGCGCCGGGCACCGGACGATCTGCAGGTCGTTTTCGTCTCTGGTTTCTAGCCAAGTCGGTGGGGATTGCTGGAGCTGCGGCGATGATGAGTTCGTGGACGCGTAGTAGTAGATGCAGGTGAGATCAGCTTTGGTTAATAAAGCAGCCGACGATGACGGCGGCGGCGGCCGGTGGTATTTCAGGAATAGCAGAGCTTCGTCAGGAAGGAGAACTCTTTCTCGGACTGAGATCGCTGCTGGAGTTGCGGAGTTCTCGCCGACAATCATCTCCATCGTCGCCGGATTATTCCATCTGGATACCAATCTGGGCTGATGACCTTCCGTTGCAATAAATACATCAAATTACATTCTAATACACAAATCACTTGAAATTGTAAGGAGTAATCAAGAATAATTTCAGCAAAATCCCAACCAAGGCACACTCACTTACACTCGGAAATGAATGAATAATATATAAATAAATAAATACCTTGGAAAGGAGGAGGCGGAGGGTGGAGAAGTTAGTGAGGAGGGCGAAGAGGAGGAGTATGCACCAGAATAATAGCACAATCCAGGGCGAAACTCCCCGTCTGCTACGATGATCATTCATGGTGACGTGACGACCAATTCAAGGGTGAGTGTTGGATTTCAGAATTATTGTAACTTGTTCTTCTTCGTTCTTTCTTTCTTTCTATTCAGCAGCTAGCAATGCTACCCTACCATTCAGTATGAGTATGAGTATGAGTAGCTGCTGCAGGCAGCTCGCCTCTTTCCTCGTCGGCCTCATATATCCTCCTTCCTCTCTTCTGTAAAAGAAGAGAAGAGAAGAGAAGCCAAAACGCATCGATCATCATGATTACGATTGACTCAAAATTAAATTGGTGCGTTTGTTCGTATTTGGGATGAGGCGTGTGTTGAATAATCCAATCCATTCTAAAATCTTCCTCAAGCCAAGTGGGGCTGGCACTACTAGCTAATTTTGAAACTTGTTTTGCCTGATCGACAATTGACATTTCTAGTCTCCTCTGCCTGTTCAGGTAAATAAATTACTTTTATCGGATGGATCCCTAAATATACATATCATCGCCACTGCTATGATGCTTCTGCCCTGGTACTATCCATATCCTTCCTTCCTTCCGTCTATTTAATCAACTAACTATTATTGTCTACTACTTTGACTTGATTATATCTGATTCTAACGCGCAAACTGTGCTATGGGTAAAATTGGTTAAAATAAATCAAACCAAAATTTTTCAAAACCAAATAACCGAACAAAACTAGTTCGGTTCGATTTAAACCGAAGAAATCGAACTTTTATTTATTAATATATTTTAATATACAATCAAATACAAATACTCAAAAATATAATATATATTATTTATTAATATATAATTTTTTATTATTTTTTAAAAATTCAATTTTTTCGATTAACCAAAATTAAAAATTAAAAATCATAATCAAACCAAAACCGAAATTTATGAACAATCCAAACTGAACAAAAAAAAATCAATTTTTTCGATTTGAACCGGCCAATGCTCACCCTTAATCCTTAGAGGAGGACGGAAAGAGTAATACCGAGGGACACCAAAAAAAAAAAAAAGAAAAAAAAAAATAGAAGTCTTCTCCATACCCTTCCAAGGAACAATAACACCATAATGTTCATAAAGGACAGCAAGAATAATAACAAGAATAATCTCTTAAAATAGACCATACGATAACATCATCTACTAAAGCCACCCATAATTGCGAATGAAAATTAGATTGACCTGTTGAGCGATCGATAGAAGAGATGTACGCAAGGTCTAGCGTTACAAGATTGCGCCGCGGCCATTTACAGCCAGCCATGTCTTCTTTTTTTTTTTCTAAGAGAGGATGGCGATGACGTCCGAAGCCCGTAGTGTTATGTATTCTGTACCGTCAGCGCCCTTGAAGTCGTTGCCTGCGTATTTCGAGTACAAAACCGTGTTTCCTGCCGCAACTGATAGTGGCTTTCTGTTGCCCTCCTCGTCTAGCTGGCCCGGCCCGACTGCAATCACCTGTATAGATTCATCCCGAGCAAATATTAGCATACATCGTGCTTAAATCAATCTTTTTAAAAATTAATACTCCCTCCGTCCATGAAATGGACGTTATTTTTCATTTATGTCCGTCCCAAAACATAGATGTCATTACTGATATAATAAATATTCTTATAACTAGACAAATACTTTTATATTACACAATGCTAATAAGAATATTTTTGTTTTTCTACTACAAACTAATATAATACTGATATTAATAAATTTACGTGCAAAAGAAAAAAATGACTCTTCTTCCGCGAAGGAATATAATAGTCCCTTAGTCCAATTTTTTTTGTCCTAAAATATTTTGCATGGTTTTTTTAAGTAAATGCTTTTTGGTTACGAATTGATAAATTTACCCTTTGTTGATAGATATTAAAAATGATAAATATATTGCTTTTTGGTTACAAATTGATAAATTTACCCTTTGTTAGTAGATATTAAAAATGATAAATAAATGAAGAGTAAAAAAGTAAATTTTGTGTACAAAAAATGAAATAAGACCATAGTTGTTAACGTTCCAAATAGGAAAGTAAGACATTAACTTGTGGATGGAGGGAATATTATTGTGACCTATTACATATATTTTACAAAATTATGGGTGTGTTTACTTGTCAAACTTTAATTATGATTTTACTATTCCAATATGTTTTTTCCTAAAAAAAAATCAAATGAAACACCTATTTTTCATTTATTATATTTCACTAAAATTTATTTTTTTATTCAAAACATCACATCAATACATATTTATATCACATCAAACAACTATTTCAATTCAAAATTTTACTATTCAAAACCAAAACCCAAAATCAAAATCTCACAAATAAACACACCCATATATGTAACTTACAGTTCCGATTGAAGGCTTCTCCTTGCTTGCGTCTGTCAGGTACAAACCACCGGCTGTTTTCTCTTCAACCTCAGCAACCTGAGATATAATAGTAGTTCACCAGATATTCACACCAAACAGCACTAGACTAGAAGATGTATTATGAATGATCGAAAATTTCAGATATTCAAAAGCCACACAGGTACAAAATGTATTGCTTTCAAATACTCAAATTCTACAACATAGCGTCATTAGCTTTTAGGCCACACTTGGTAACAGAGACTTAGGCTAAAGGGATTTAATATTCGTCATTAAATCCATACGATTGTCAATTTGGAGCTTTTTACTATTCATAAATTTTTTTCTTTAAAAAGAATCAAATCAGATAGTTATTTTTCATTTTTTATATTATACTAAAATTTAATTTTATATGCAAAGCATCACATGATATCAATACTTATTTATATCACATCAAACAACTATTCAAAACCCAAACACATAACCAACCTTAATGAGAACTCTGTCATTCAGGGGCTTCAAATCTTTCACGTCGTCAGTATCAAGAATACCTATAACATCGTCCTCCTTCAGAATAAGATGATTTGCGCCATTGAATTCGACTTCTGTCCCTGCATACTTCGAGTATACAACTTGGGCACCAGTCTATAGACACAAACACCCCCCCCCCCCAAACAAAAGTCAACTTGCTGCCATTTAAATAAAAACAGGAAATGGAAATGCCGTGAATTGTGACAATACCTTAACAGAAATGTCCACTTTGTTCTTTCCAACCGTGCGACCCTCGCCAACAGCAACAACCTCACCCCCTTGTGGTTTTGATTGTGCGGTTACTGGTAGTAAGATACCGCCAGATGTCTTTTCCTCTGCTGTCTTAATCTTGACCAACACTCTATCAGCTAACGGCTTGAGAGTTGTGTACTGAAGATAAGAAATTACATGAGATGAACAATTGCTAAAACTTCCATAGAACATTAAGGATGGGATTTCACTGTTTTTCCAAAATTTTACTTCAAAAACATCAAATCAAATACTCAATTCTTTTACGAACCTTCAAACAAACACAGCCTAAGAAACTAATGGTCCAAACATGGTGGGAAATAAGATTTCAGAGCCCAGTAAATCATTAGGGGTCCTTTTCTTAAAGGTTCAATCTGCTGCGGCACTATGTATCAAATTTGTTCATCCAATACTATTGAATCAAACACTGCTTTTCATTTAATATGTTACACATAAAATCAAATTTACTTTCAAATATTTACTATTCTCAATCGCCAAATCCAAATCCAAATCCAAATCTTCAATAAATAATAAATACTCCTGATTTTTGGTTTAGAATTTACCATATGCTAAGTCTACAACATAATCAGAAATTACCCTCACTCCAAGAACACTGACGCATCAAAATCGAAATAAACAAGAATCAAAAACATCCTTTAACTGCTCAAATGAGAAACAAAGATCTATTCCTTAAGATAATCACTACGAAAACATCACAACTGGTATCTAAAGAAAGAAACCAGAGCATTTCAATAACCGAATACGAATCAATGAATCTAAACACCAATTTTCAGCTGTACCGAAATTCATTCACAAACAGACAATAGATGCAACAACGAACGACTTCGAGCTCAGAATCGAATTTCGAAACGAATACATCACTGACTGTAACAAAACGCACCTTCGGAGCAACGGTAGTGGAAGCTTTAACAACAAGTCCACGAAACGTCTTTTGAGAGCCCCCACTCTGCTTCACAGGGGTGAAAAACGAAACCTGCACAGCATCCGTGGCCCTGAGTCCATTAAACGAAGCAAATCCTTTGGCAGAAACTGAAGCAAGGTTTATGGTCGCCATTTCTCGCTCTAAAACTCAGAAATCTGTACAAACCAAAGCGGAAAACCAAATCACATCAATGAAATCCAACGATTGCAGAGAATTGAGCAAGAGAATAGCGATAAATACGTTACCTGAAAGCGTAGAACGTGTGTTGATAGGCAAGGCAATGAATGCGAGCAGAGTAGAGCGGAGCGCAGTGAAGAGTAAGTGAGGTGTAGGTAGTGTGGGAGGATTGGAATGGTGCGCTGATGGATAACGAGAGGATAAAGAAACCCTAGAAGGTTCCTGAAACAGAAAGGGGGGTTTTGTGCAAAAGATGGAGGCTTCTAGAACACCAATTGAGGTCATTTTGGCATTCACAAGTTTTGCATACAAAATATGTCCCATAATTATGTATACTGTTTGTATAAAATTTTAAAAATATTAGTATTATATTAGAATGTAATAAAAATAAAATATAAATGACTAAATAATAATATTTGTGTAATATATTGTAAATTGTAAAAGTATTTGTTTAATATATTGTAAGTTGTAAAAATATTTGTAATGTTATGTATATAATACAATTACTTAAAAAAAAAAATTATTATGAGACAGACTAAAATAAAAAATTGAATATTTTGTTATAAAAGAGTATTTTGTTTTGTTCTGGAATTTAAGGGTATGTTTCTTTGATATGTTTTGAAAAAAAAAAATTGGTTTGATTTTTGTATTAAAATAATATATAACAAAATATTTTCTATAAATTTTTTTATAAAATACATAATTTAAATATAAAAAACTTGATTTTAGTGTCAAAAGAAACAAACTCTTAAATAATACTCCCTCCGTCAAATAAAAATAAAAGTATATATTTATTTTTACGGTGGAGTTTAATAAATAATAATATTTTAATTATAATAGATAGGTAAAAGTAATATAATTATATTTTTGCTTTTATTTTTTTAATATAAAAGTAACGATGTAATATAAAGTAAAGACATTGAAATGAGATATTTAATGAAATAGTTATTTCGTAATTAGATGTCCCAAAATATAAATATGTATATTTTTTAACTAGAAGGACGAAGTATTTGGAGATATGGATTATGATAACATATTTTTATTGATAACCTTAATATTTTAAGTAACGTTGATTTATGTATAATATAGAGTTGGCATTTGGTCAATTCATATTTGATTGAATACTTAAACATGTTAAATAATTTAATTATAATCTGACTTATTTATTATCGCTTCGGATTTGTGTTAACCCGTATTGACTCGTATACATAATTAAATTAAATTTTTTTATTTAAATTCAATTATTTTTCGTCATGTTGTCGTGCTATGTTAGTTTTTTTTTAGTTCTAGTATAATGTATTTGATGAATTAGGTCGAATTATTTTAAATTTAACTTAATTTAAATTAATACGTGGGTTATTAAATTATAATTATTTTATATATATCTAATAAATATATTAATTAATTAATTAATATATTATAATTGGATTGTCGTGTCATATTTGAGTTGAGAGCCTAAATTTTAACTCGATCTGTTTATTATTGTAACAGATTCGTGTCAACCCGTATTTATAATCGAGTTAAAATCCTTTACTAAAACCTAATTATTTCGTGTTAGGTTATCGTGTCATAACAATTTTTGCTGACTAGCAACATTGGCAATCATAATGTAAATACAATAATTTCATTTGGGGGTGGCAAAATAATCATGAAAGCCCAGTCCGAGCACAATACGAAAAAATCGTGCTTTGACCTAAAAAAATAGACTCCAAAATTTTTGGACCGTGTCTGGCAGGGCATGCTAATGAACCGGGTTGTGTCTGGTCCAATTCAATTTTTAAAATCAATATTTAATTTTTAATAAATTTATATATATTGAATTTTGAAATAACAACAAAAAATTACATATGATTTGACGGTAAAAGTCTTTGATTTGAAATAGATGTATAGAATGATATTGTTGAGATATTTTATATATTCTGTTTTAGATTTAGTAAATTTATATCTAGATTTGATTTAATTCATAGATTAGATTATTTAGATTTGAGTCTATCGAGTCTCTTTTGTATTGCCTATATATAGGCTTTTTATTTTGATGATCAATAAGACAATTTCATTATTTTCCCCCAAATTTCTAATATGGTATCAGAGCCTATTTTTCTTATGCCGTAGATATAGTCTATCAACCTGCGTTTCTCCGGGTATATTCAACCTGGATTGTACCCGGAGGTGTAGTGATTCTGAAATCATGCTATCTACCATTTGTATGTTGTCTGCGTTCAATTTGAAATCTATTTGCTATCCGTTTGTTGCCTGCATGCGATCTGAAACCCGTCTGCAGTTTGTCATCTGTCCGCCTGCTTGTTGCTTCTTTTCTGTTGTATGCGTGCGATATGAAGCCTGTCCGTTGCTTGCATGCGATATGAAGCCTGTCCGTTGCTTGCATGCGATATGAAACCTGTCTGTGATCTGCCATTTGTCCGTTGCTTGTCTATTGTCTGCGTGGGATCTGTTTGGTGTTGCGATCTATCTTTTTTCGCCTCCGGTGGGGTCCTGTTGTTTTTTGCTCCGGTGGAGTCATCTCGTTTTCGGCTCCAGTGGAGTCCTGTCGTTTTCGGCTCAGGTGGAGTCATCTCATTTTCGGCTCCGGTGGAGTCATGTCGTTTTCGGCTCCGGTAGAGTCCTATTGTTTTTTGCTCCGGTGGAGTCATCTCGTTTTTTGCTCCGGTGGAGTCATCTCGTTTTTTGCTCCGGCGGAGAGTTATCTCATTTTTTACTATGGTGGGTGGAGAGTCAACTGCTAATTTTATTTATGTTTTCTTTTTGCGTTTATATTCAAATTTCTCGTCAAACTCAAGTTGGTTTCTGTTATACCAGTTTGAGAGGGGGATGTTGAGATATTTTAGATATTCAGTTTCCGATTTAGTAAATTTATATTTAGATTTGATCTTATTCATAAATTAGATTACTTAAATTTGAGTTTATCGAGTCTATTTTGTATGACCTATATTTTGTATGAGATTATCTTATTATCGTCAAAATAAAGAGCCTATATATAGGTCATACAAAATAGACTCGATAGATTCAAATCTAAATAATCTAATCTATGAATAAGATCAAATCTAAATATAAATCTACTAAATTTGAAACTGAATATCTAAAATATCTCAACATCCCCCTCAAACTCAAGTGGTATAATAGAAACCAACTTGAGTTTGACGATAAATTTGAATATAAACGCAAACAGAAAACATAAATAAAATTAGCAGCTGACTCTCCACCCACCGGAGCAAAAAATAAGATGATTATCTACCGGAGCAAAAAACGAGATGACTCTCCACCGGAGCAAAAAACGAGATGACTTCACCGGAGCCGAAAACAACAGGACTCTACCGGAGCAAAAAAAACGACATGACTCCACCGGAGCCGAAAAATGAGATGACGATCCACCGGAGCCGAGGAAAATAAGCTCTGATACCATGTTAGAAATTTGGGAGAAAATAATGAGATTCTCTTATTATTGTCAAAGTAAGGAGCCTATATATATGTCATACAAAATAGATTCGATAGACTCAAATCTAAGTAATCTAATATATGAATAAGATCAAATCTAGATATAAATCTACTAAATCTGAATATCTAAAATATCTCAACAAATATTTTGAATATAATATAAGTTGATGTAACGTGATATTTTGAATATAAAATTAATTTTCAATATAATATAAATAATACTACTCCATTCATCCACCGTCAATTTATCCATTTTGTCATTTTAGTATGTCAATCACAAATGTGTCAATTTCATTTTTTTGGTAAATGTATCTTCCACTAAAATATAAAGTTACCCCACCATTTATATAATATTACACAAATGTCATCAAATAACACCACTTAATATCATAAATGTTAAGGGGTAAAATAGTCTTTATGTATATCAATTGTATCACATATCAATATAATACTAATATACTAAAATCTATGTGTAAAAAGTAAACTGATAGATAGATAGTGGACGGAGGAAGTATTAAATATTTAATTTGATATTTTTTAAAAAATAAAAAAATAAAAAATAATAAAAATCTGAAAAAATATGTCTAAGGAATACACCCACATTGCCTCGTATCATTCTGATCTATTTGGTTTATTATTATTGGATATATACATTATATATATATGTGTGTAATTATTTGATTGATTCTATCGTATACAATTAATACGATAATAAAAAACTCTGACATCGAAGATAACATAATAAATGTATATTCGTCTTGTACATCATTAATGATAAATATGCAAAATTATTATTAATAATACATAAAAATAAAAAAATTTCCCGTAATTTAGCAATACTTATGAAGGGTGTTTGTTCCGGGAAATGGATTAAATTTTCACTGATTATTCCATTTTTTTTTTCTAAAAAAACATCAAATCAAACACTTATTTTTAATTTTTTCTATTATACTAAAAATCAATTTTACATTCAAAACATCACATCAACATCTATTTATATCACATCATACAACTATTCAAATTCAAAATTTTTACTATTTAAATCTCAACTCAAAATTCAAACCCCACGTACAATTTATTTCAACTCATTTCTACAAATATTATTACAGCAAAATTTGGTCCCTCAGAATACATACATGTGAGGGACAACAAATAAAATAATAATAATAAATAATGAAACATCATTTTAAAAAAAAATAAAAAATAAGAAGATAAAAGAAGATGATGGATACAAAAAATGGTTCCATCAAAATAATTAATTAATCAAAAATAAAAAAATTTGGGTCAGTAATTTCAGTTTTAAATAATTTTCCAAAATTTCTGACCCTGAGAAGGATTGAAAGTTTGTCCGCAGGGAAGTTCGAGGTCCCGGGTCTCGATCATCTATACCGTTCATTAATCCATCTACTGTGCATATTTATCGGGATCTCGAGCTCCGGGTCCTCCTAAAGAATCAGGCCTCAAAGTTCCATAGAGATGGCGAAGCCTCAGTACTGAACACGTCATCAGTAGTATCAGACCAATAAGTAACGTCGGGCAAAGCGGGCATAAAAAAATCGCCCGGGAAATCGTAAAATTCCGAAAATGCCCCGCACTCAGAGAGGTTGTTCTCTGCAGCCGTAGAAAAAGCAGCTGGTTCAGAGAGTCACTCTCGGGGGGTACTGTGGTAATTTCATAGTCCTGATGGGTGACCGACGGGCAGGAAAAGGATGAAAGGGTATCCGATTGCGAATCGGAATATTCGAACGCAGCCGGCGCCGGCTCGGCGGCGCGTGGGAGCGGCTCGGCGTTCGCGAATCTGGCGGCGGCGGCTTGGATCTCCGCCGGCTTCATCGATCTCGCGCCGGCTATGTCCGGCGGATTTTCGGGGAAGTTGAACTTGGCTTTGCTGCCGCGGAGGCAGAACAGCGCCGCGTCGAACGCACGCGCCGCCTTCTCGGCGGTGTCGTACGAGCCGAGCCAGATTCGCTCGCGGCTGTTAGGCAGCCGGATTTCGCAGACGTATTTCCCCCACTTGCGCTTCCGCACGCCTTTGTACTTACACGACGACGTCTCCGGCGACAGCGAAAGCGGCGGCGGAGGCGACGGCGACTCACGGCGGAGCTCCGGCGACAACGATTTCACCATAATCGGCGGAAAAAAGATATAGCGATTTATTATTTTTTTTGAATTTTTATTTCAATTTTTTTATTTTTAATTTTCGAAAATGGGACTGAATGTGAATGGCGGCTGGTGGGAGTATTTATACGGCGGGTGGGGAGCGCGTGCGGTCACGTGAGGGTTGATTAGCGTGTTGAAGGGAGAGTGTGCAGTCAGCGAGTAAAGTGAGAGTGGAGGGTAATAGAAGGTCCCTGGAGTTTGAGGGGCTGAGGGTTTTTTGTGATGGAGTGTAGTGGTGTGGCGTTGGGAGTCCCGGAGTGGGGAAGGATCAGGTGGTTTGGTGCTACGCGGAGCACGTGCGAGATTTTAATTTCCTCGTGCGGAAATTGGGATGGATCGAGGAAGGAGTTAGGGCCACATATTAAGACTTAAAAATCATTCTAGATAATCTATACTAATACATAGAAAAATATTAGGGTGTGTTTCTTTAGGTTTAGAGTTTGTTTGGTGATTAGAGGGTAGTTACGGAGGAATGTATAAGTATTTTTAAAAGATTAAAATATTTTTATTTATATAATCATTGTAAAAATGTGAAAAGGTAGTTCAAAAATAAAAATGAGACTATTATTTTGATATAGAAAAAAATGCCAAAATAAAATTATTGTTTTTGGATGGAGAGAGTATTTAATACTTTCTCTCGGATATTTGTCCGCTTTACTGTATCCACGAGAATTTAGGAGAGATATAATTAGTAAATAATTAAAAATATATTAGCAAAAAATTATCGTATAATAAAAATAATTGTAGATTAAAATTAAAATAATTGATTATTATAATTAAAATTAAATGAAAGTGTATAATTTTTTTCTATAAAAGAAAAGTGAGAAAATAAGTGGGACAAACATAAATGGAAAGATGGACATGATATGTGGAACAGAGGGAGTAATAACTTTTATGTAAAAAAAATACTTTCTCCGTCTCAGCTAATTTGTCCGTTTTAGCTTGGATACGGAGTTTTAGGTATTATGTAAATGTAATTAAAATGTATAATTATATTTAAAAATGTAAATTATATGAAACTGATGAAAATAAAAATAAATAAATAAATTATATGAGACCAAATAAATAATACTCCATCCGTCCCACATACATGTTCGTTTCTATCCGTCCCACATAACATGGCACTTTCCTTTTTTTTAAAATGATTATACACTTTAATCTCATTTTAAACTTTTGAATTTTATTTTTTTAAAATTTTAATTAAACTAATTAGTTATTTTAATTTTAATTTATAATTATTCATATTATAAGATAATTATTTTCACTAATATATTCTTAATTATTTACTAATTACATCCCTATGTGGAACGAAGGTATTATAATATAAAAATTTAAATTGATATTTTCAGAAAGAAAATTATAATGAATAATACAAACCTTAAAAACCGCAATCATTCACCTTTGTGTATTGTAATGACTTATTTTCATTATTTATTTATAACAATTTATCTCTGTCATCCATTGATACAATTATTTTTATTTTTAAAAACTTATTACACACTTTAATTATATTTAAAAAATTTAATTTTTAAAATTTTTCATTATACTAATTAGTTACTTTTAACATTGAACATTAATAATAAACAATACCAATATGTATTGTGTATTACATTGTATACTCAATTCCATCCTATCCTATGTTCTCAGAAAAAAAAAAAAAAAAAAAAAAACACGTATAAAATAGAACAAATTTTCTTACAAAGCAACCAGTAAGACTGGAGATCATTTTGATCGAATTGGATCGAAACACATCCTCCTCCGTTCAAACTTGTTCGACAAATCCATCTTTGAGCGCGGGAACTTTCAAGGCCAGCGTACGGTACAATCTCGAGTAACGAGCGCGGGTCCCGTCAGCTGTCCGAGCAAGAGCGAGCAAACTGAGAGCTTCCGGAAGCTGCGAGAATACCTTATCCTTAATCTCTTCAAGCGTCATGTTTTCGAGGACTGTTGGCTTTGGAACCACCCGGACAATCTCCCCGCCCTTTGGCTCTTGCACGCGCGCGTCTGCTTTTATTACAAGTTCCGAATTTGAGCTCGCCCCGCACTTGATGATGAATGGAGTTGTCGACCCCGTGTTGAACTGTAGGACGTTCCATTGCGACACGTCCTGCGGCTGCAGCTGCTGCTGAGTTGTGTCTTTGGATGGCGCCGCCGAGTCGACGTGCTTGTCATCCTCTTCTGTAGTCGACTACATGTAGAAAATCGGGAGTTTAGATTGTTTAGAGAAGAAAGAGATAGATAGAGAACACATGAAATCTAAATCGAGAAAACAAATTTGTGTCAGTATGACATACAATATATTATTATAATTTATACAATTCGTATTACGATCATTCATCGCACTATAAAATATGAACTGTCGGCAAATAATTTCAATTAACACAATATATGTTGTATTAAGTGAAACCGTGTATTCTCTCTATATATTTTTTTTTATATGCTAATTAGAGCTAATCAACACCATAACCTCTCTCTCTATATATATATATATATATGAAATGCAGAAAAAATTACAAAAAATATCCTTAAAGTATTATTTATCTAGCTGGTAAAATATATCTTGTATGTATGCAAAAGTCAGTCATTTTTATCCTCCGTCCGCGCGTGAAAGGACAAAAATGACGACATTTGCAAATGTGTAGAATACATTTTGACAGCGAGATAACAAAAAGACAAAAATCATAATTGAGTATAAGTGTTCTAATGAAATGCATGTTTGTTTATTGTATGTTTTTCAGTGTTTCTCTACTATAAGTCTATGTTTACTTTCAAATTTATTTCTCTACTTTACCGTCAAATCCTCACAATTTAAAGTAGAAATACATCACTTTCTTTCATGTAAACATCATTTAAACCAAAAATCAAAACTAGAACTCCAAAAAAGTCACAAAGTAAACATCACATTTAATACCTATTTTTTATTTATATAACATTCAACTACTATTTTACCTTAAAAAACACACCAAATCGAAAAAAAAAAAAAAAAAACTAATATGCACATAAGTACACTATATCTTTGTAAAGAGGCCTATGGTTCAATTTATGCATGTAGAAACCGCGACACAACTATTCATGCTTTTAACTTCATAAAAACTAAAAGCATACAAAAAATACTCCGTAGTTAATTCCATGGAATCATAAAATAAGAAACATACCTCAACAAGTTGTCGAGCTTCACCAATGTGTCGCTGAGCACAAGGATGGTCGACATCCAGTAATGAAGGCATCCGCTCGGAGAGTTCATCAAGAGAGGAAAGCAACGAGCGTTTTTTACTCTTACTTAGAACACCAGCTGATGCTTGTCTTGTTATATCCTATTCGAGTGAAAGATATATAAATTTCCCATTAACAAGGAATAAACTTACATAAAAAAAAACCAGCAAAAAGAAAATGTGATGGGAGATGGGATGAAAACCTTAGCTTGCTTCAATATGCCATCAAGTGAAATTAATGACGCCAGTCGTGCATCCTCAGCAGCGGTGTTGGGATTTCCAATCGGTGCAGCGCCTTCGTCCAAACTGAACAATGATGCATCGCTTTTCATCTGCTGCAAAATCTGATTCCAGAAAACAATGGTGTCCATGTGACACAAGATAATATGTTCATGTGTGTATTTATATATATATATATATATAGATGCACATACATATCGGTAAAAAGAAAACATGTACATTTAATTTAAGTCAAATGTTATAAGAATTGGAGCAACATTGCCTAAAGTTAAAATTGATACAAATATATTTCGATTTAGTGACAAGAACATAATAAGAATATGTTCTTTTTATTTTAGTTTTACTACGAGTTTGTTCTTTTATTATTTTTTTTTACATGTTTTTCAAAAAAAATTAATACACTAGACACATTTATTATTTTTATATTTCTTACACAATTCACTATACCTCATATAAAAAAATTTTCTTTCCAACAATCTGACAAAACAAACACACCATACAAATCTCATTGTTCCCAATAAAAACACCCCAATTTTTATATAAAACATCATATTCAACCAATATTTTACCTAAAAACCAACATTTACAAAACAGAAAAGAACGCCCAAATTTAATGAGTATAAATTTGACAAAAAATGAAATTTAGATATGAACTCAGACAATAAGATTCATATTTCAAAACATGAGAATGACCATTCAATGCATATTTCAAAATAGAGAACCAAGAAATTTATATATATATTTTATTCACATGCTAACCTTCCGTCTCTTGTGATCAACAGACTCGAGAGCAGAGCGGAGCTTCGCCACCTGTGCAGCGTCTTCTGCCGATTCAGTAGCCAAAGTGCCTACAATGTCCTGAAAGAAACAAAGTAACATGAGGTAATAACACAGCCCCAAAAAAAAAAAAAAGAAACATCAGTTAACTCCAACTATATTCTAAATGATTCATAAATGTGGGAAGGGCTAAATATAATGCATACTTTTAAGTGTTGCAGCTGAGAAGCATAGAGACGTCTTGCATATTCGGACAAAAGCTGACCGAGGGCATCAGTGCTGGGAGGTTGGGCAGCGCCAAGACCCGCCATCCAACCATCCATAATTGCAGTTGAGAGAAGCTCAATCTGTCCAGTTGCTCCGGCTACCGTGTCATCAGCAACAGACAGGAAATCAAAATTCTCACCAAGCCAATTTCTGATTTGGCGCTGGAGCTCACCGGCTGGAGTGTGGACAAAAGAGCTGCCAAAGCCTTTCTTCCGACTGCGTAACTTTTTGCTTCCTCAGTTATTTCCCGAAGCTTTCCACCGGTTACATGTTGTCTCCATACATCCTATATAATCAGAAATGTAACATTTTGAAGTTTATGTAAATGCAGTCAAAATTCAATCTATAGCTAACCATTGATCGAAAACAATTATGATATTACATGATTCTGAAAATATAAAGACAGGATAAAATACATGAGAAAAAATGGAAACAGAATAGCTGAGACAAAAATTTAATTAGGATTGTTATAATAACAGTAAAATTCATCAAGTACATATAATATGAGGAAATTGTCGTTAGATTGTACATTTTTTTTGAGAAAATAAATGAAATGTTTCACAAGTACCTTCTTCCTTACAAATAATCGATATTATTATGAGATAATTAATTCCACTACAATGTATAAGCACTATTACATGGAAAGTAAATGTCATTACAATATATAAAATATAGTAACTGATATATCCTTTTTTAAATCACATTTGATTTTATTGACGGAGTTATATTTTCATCAATGAGATGTTCGACTCTATTTCACTGTAATAATATCACAAAATACCTCGTCGATTCCACGTATCTTCAGGACCACAGACGACAACTTTGACTTCTTTTCTTGTTTTATATTAACTCTGAAACCTGGAACAAACTCCTCAACCAGCATATTTGTCCTAGCACTGGATTCATGGCGCACAGGAGATTTTCCAGGACTACTACTGCGGCTAGAGCTTCTACTACGCCCACTTACAGGCTTCTCTAGAAACCGCTCAACAGGGAGAACCTTACATAACAAATCATTTTTCTTGAGTATATATTTCAAGATTGACATATATCAAAATATACCATAAACTTTCTTAGCACCTTAATTGATTGGAGCTCAGGAGAGCGAGCGAGCAACGATCGTATGTAGAGAATTCTAACACGGGACACAAGCATGGTGTCCATGACCCTTTTGGGCTCCAATTTACGGATAAAAGCAAATACAGCCTCTCTAATTTCAGCAAGTATTTCATGCTCTCTAGAAGCACCAGCTTTTATTACCGCAGCCAATACCTGCAGTTTTTGCAGAAACATAATAGCTTATTAAAGACAGGAGCCATTGATCAATTAATTACCAGAAATCAAGCATGTAAAAACTACAAACAATGGTACCAACTTGCCTAAAAATTGGTGAAATTGAACTTTTTATGTAATCCCAAGTGCCTATTTCTATTTTGGCCATAATAAGCCAATTTTCAGTAATATTAACATTTCAGAGTATTATCATTGTTAGAAATATACAGTAACACCTGCATTGCATACTCTTTTAGTAATTCCACATGCTATTAGGGTTTTTCCCGTCAATCTTAATTGGCCTGAAATTATGAAACCAAAGCTACTAACTATTATGCAACAAACTACTAAAACGTATATCAATGGGACAAGATAGAAACGTACATTTGGGGACTAATAATGATTCTGGGCCCTAAGAATCAAGACTAGGTTGGTTTGCAGATGGTTAGGGAATGCTTTGTAAGGCATCTTAACAAAGGTATGCTTTTTATATTCATGAGCTTTAGATACATGATAAAAAGGTGCCTAAGAAATGCTAGAGTATAATCTAAAAAATGTGCACCCGCAGATGCAAATTCACCATCCTTACCAGCATCAAGAGCTTGTTTGCACCATCTGATATGGCAGCAAGACTGTCATATGGTTCAGGATTGAAGTCATTAAGTGCTGCTGTAAGATATTCACCAGCAGGTGTAGTTTTAACTATACCAGTGCCAGATTTAACCAATGCACCAGCATTCTCTGCTTGGGTGGGTAAGGAAGGAAACATCACCAGGCCGTCCTTTGGCATGAGAATTATCATTTCTGTCAAGGAAAATCAATTTAGGCCTCGTGCAAAATTGGTAGTATGTATGCATGTCAAGTAATAACAATTGTAAAGAGAACTTGACGGAGATCAGAATGGATAAAACACCTTCCCAAGTCACGAGACTGGGCATTTGAGCCCCCAGGAGGTTTAGATGACACCTTAGGTGATTCGGCTGAAGCTTTTTCAGTTAACTTGTCGAACAACTTCTCATTCTCTTCATGTAATTTCTGCCCGGGGACCAAAAGAAAAGAAGCTTATTTTGTAGCATACCTCCCAAAATATTCTGAACCTTTAGTAAAAGTTCAATGAAAGATATATAACAAAAGGCAACCCAAATGACCTCAATGAGAGCATCTCGTTTTTTGAGCTCATCCTCAAGTTTCTTGGTAACTGCAGCAGATTCTACATCATCAGCAGGGGATTGTTGCTTGTTTGCTCTTCACTTGACAGTCCCGTGCCATTCGTTGACAAAGTGGTTTTGGAGAGAAGAACTTCATTCAATTGTGACTCAATATTCTTCAGCTTAGCCTACAGAAGTTGCATCAAGGGCCATCGGTATCAAGATTCAAGTATAAAGCTGTAGAAGAGATTAAAAACATGAGAGATTTTGATTTGTTCAATAAATATATTTTTGTTGAGGTTCTACCAGTTTCCGTAAAAGATGGCGTTTGACAACAAATGATTCGAAAAATACCCTATATGATATTAAAAGAAAATGTATGAAGGAGAGACAAGTGACTTCTAACAAAAATGAACAAGGAGGATTACAGAATTTGTGCCAACCTGTAGCATTTCAATAGTTGAATCTTTTTCTTCAATCTGCAACTTCTGCTCTTGCTCCACCTGTAACAATTGAGAAACTTGGTTTCGAAGTTGTGATTCTGATCCTTCTCTATCTTGAACTTATCTGCAAGCACTGTGTTGTCTGCCTGCAGAAACATGATAACATGTTCTTAGTCTGGTTATCTATTAGTTCGTATACAATTGCATCCCAAGAAGTATTTTGTGCGACAGAGTAGGATAAAAATAAAAAATTAAACCAAATAGTCTGAATTATGGAAGTATTGCATTTGAAAACAATGAATAAAAACAGCTAGCAGGTACTAGGAGATGAGAGCATGTGCACGTGTCACATATTTGGAATTGTCACTTACCATTGGCATTAAAGTTTGAGTGTCAGCGTACACCCAATGGTTATGAAATTTGGGCAATAATATTTCTTACAGGTTCAGATGAAGTTTACATATATGAGTTGTCTCAAGAACTTGGGGCTCTGGATAGCCACTTGGGAGATTTGTTTGGAGATTATGTAGAACTTAATCAAGAGGACAACTCAATTTGGAGGCAAAAGTTGACAGAAAATGTTGGGTAAGTTAAATAAGAAATATTTACACTCACTAAATTATATTGAAAAAGTAATTAACACAAGAAGATATGTTGAAACTTGAAACACAAACCCTCAGTTCATACAAAAGGACTATATGAAGACTAGAAAGAAATTATAAGAAACTATATTGCATGTTTAAATATGGATGAAAAATATGCCTCTTAATTGAACACAATGGAGGCATGTAATCCATAGGGCTAACACGGCATATGATCCAAAAGAATTATCAAACACAAAGGCTTAGATGATTATTTTGATGATGAAGATAAAGAAGTTGTAATATACATAGTCAACTACATATAAAAATCACTCTTCATGTGGAAAGTATTCTCTCCACATAATACATGTCTTGCAATATGTAGTAACACATATCAAACTCATTTCACGATCAACATATTAGTCAGAAAAAATTTTGTCTGGTGTATTAATATAATCCTAAAGCCAATATTCATATCTCATCCACCAAAATAGCAGATAGGAGGAAAATGGTAGAGAACAGTGCAAAAGCATAACATAATACTTCAAATCAGACTCCAAGTGGAAGTAACCTTCCAGGCTTTCTGAACTTCATTATAA